ACACACACACACACACACACACACACACACACACACACACACACACACACACACACACACACACACACGTGTACATTGTACATGTTTTAGGCACACATATTTGAAAATGCTGGTTCTAATTCCCAAATAAGCTAACATTTCCCCTTTGAAATGGGCTGGGTGGGGAGCTGGTCTGGGGCTGGGACCTTGATGCAGGGACAACATGGTCCAGAGCTGGGGCAGAATTGAAATTGCTGCTCACACATTAGAGCAACTCCCCGCCCAGCTGTGTGCCTTGCCAGTGCTGCTGGGGCTGGTCTCCATTGAAACCCTGGTCCCTTTGTCATGGCCCTGCTGCTGCAAGGGTCTCCGTGGAAACTGGCTACAGTGATGCAGGCAGGGGCTGCTGGGAAATGGAGTCCAGATGCTGGCCAGATCCACCATTTTGTCCACCCCTGATTTACAACATCTAAAATATTCTTATGTTTACAGTGTGCAAAATGATAGGGTCCCACGCCTCTCCCCCTCTCATTAATATGAAAAGAACCAAGAAAAGCTGTATTTTTCCAACTTTTTCCTTCCTTGTCCCTCTTTGATGCCAATGTATGTAGGGTCACATATGAACTTGTCATAATTCAAACAGTAAGCTGTACTTCTATTTCGTAAGCAGTGATGTTCACTAGGATGCATGGCAGAATACTTTATCCTTACTAAAGGATTTAATATCTGAATCTGCATGTTGACCACTTTAAAAATGCAACCTGTATTCTCCCTGTCTCTGATATCACCTTAACTTTGTCTGCTGGAGTGACCTTTCATGAAGATTTCATGGTATATGCACAAATCAAGATACATGCCAGTCACTTCTGAATGTCAAACATTTTATAGCAATATCAACCTTTTGATAGTTGTTCTTATAATGAGCCAAGAGAAATGCTGAGGCTTTATGGCTAAAATCTAGAAACAATAGCTAAATGTAGTTTGGAATGTATTCCAAACTATCTAGAAAGAAGGTATAAATGTGTGATAAACAACAGAATCTAAAGCAGAAGAGGCTGTCAGGGCTAGGCTGTTGGATGAGACAGAGTTCTTCTCTCATGCAAACATTTACATCTTAAATATTGCAGCAAGAAACCTAACTTTACATTTCAAAAGTATATTTCTAATGCTTGCTGTTCCTAGAGAAATAAATCTAGTATATCTTTTCATAGGGTAACCTTTAATGTTATTTGGTGTTTGAAAATATGTCTAATGTCTTGTGAACATAAAACCTCACACACAATCTTTCCCTTTAGGTTCAGAAATTAAGAGAAAAGGCTCAGAAATTGAAGAGAGAGGCAGCTTATGTCAAACTCAAATCTGATGATATGGAAGGAATAAAAGAGATTCCAGTTACTCCAAAGGAAAATGGTTCTATATCTTGTCCAGGACAAAAAAGCAAACGCTGTCTTCAGCTGTTGAAAAATATGCAGAAACTTCAGTCTACACTCAAGAAAGATGATATTATGTGGGAACAATAGTTTGTGGCAGTGCCTTTAGCTGGCATCTTCAAAAATTGTATGAAAGTTCATAGGCTTTAGATTTAACAAATACTAGAATTAATTCAATGTTCATGGCAAATCTATAAAATGTGTTGTGCAATGTCTAAAGTATATGTTAATGTAATAGTCAATAGTCAATTTCAGTTCTGTAAATTAAGAGCTTTAGATTGAACAAACCAACCACCCTGTAGCTATGCAGATATTTTAAATAAAGCCATTTTTAATTGTTTGTTTCATGATGTATCTACTAATGGCTTTTGTATGTTTCTTTTCATTATTTTTGTTTGCTTTTTTAACTTGTCAAAATAAAACTCAAAACTTCTCATGTTGCGTATAATGTTTATAGCGTACAGTATTTTATTCTCTTTCCTCAAACTGATATTATTTGTTTTGAAGAGGAAGGAGAGTCCAAAGTGGAGCCAAAACTCATGACTCAGTGCAGAAGGACATACTGTATTAATCCTGCTTCCCTAGTCTTAAAGGGCCAAAACTCCAATTAAAATCAATAGAAGAGTTCCTTTTGTAAAGTTTTGAAGATTCAGACCTTTACAACCAAGTCAAACAAATTACTATAATCGTTTGTCTCTTGTGATATATGTATATTTATTCATTAAATGATGTGGAAAATAGTTGTGAAAGTGGGGTAAAAGCTGAGAGATTTCTTCTGTGTTTTTTGAAGGTATTTTTTTATTTTGTTTTATATGTCCTATCACCACCTTTAAAATATGCTATGGGTTCTTCAAAGAAAATAAAGATACATGTATACATTTAATTCTGTTTAATTATAGTTAATGCTACTTTGGCACCGTCTGTCACTCATATACTATCTCTTTTTTAATATGGCTTCTCAAAGTTTTTGACTAAACATTTGGAAAGGACAAATACCTAAAACCTAGCTTAGTAGCTAATCTACAACTCTGTCAACTGAGCCTGTCCAAATCATGATGTAAGCAGGTGTGGAGCCCTTGGTGTAGACTAGGCCTAGAACTGCATTTTTAGCTCTCAATTTAAGAACAAATCACCCAGTCTACTACAGCTGGGATGTTTTCAAATTTACAGCTGTTTGTCATTTGTTACTAGTGTGCTATGCTTTCACTCTTTGCATAAATGTAGTAGACTTGCTGTTTGTCACCATGTATAAGTGAATTTCTGGCTTAGTACTGGACCAGTCTCCTCCTTCACAAATAATGGTGCCTCTACAATCCTAAGAACCTTCAGTCAGATTTATGAAGTTAGGTGGAGAAGGAAGGACTTGGACTTCATTCTCATGGCCTTTCCAAATCACAAAGGTGCACATAAGCCACGTGTGTTGGAAACTTCTACTTGATACTAGGAAAGGAGCAGAAACTGGTTGAAGGAGAACTTTCTCTGCCTATATATTGGGAGAGGGCCCAGCATTTGTTTTCCTGGGAATTAAGTTCTATACTGAACCTGCAACCCATACACATCAGTGCTAACCAGAATGTGTGTGGAGGGGGAGGAGGGAGATGAAGAGGGCTAGTCCCACTAATTTAAGAGTGAGTTACTTCAAATTGTGTTAAAGGTATTTCTGAGAGCTTGCATTTACCAGAAGGAAAATGTAGTGATCTGTTGTGTCAGTTCAGTGAGGCAGTACCGCTCATCTTTGTGAAGAGATGTGGGTGGTTCCTTCAAATGTTTTTGCACATAAGATCTTGCAAAGGGAAGAGCTAATTCTGCTTCCAAAGACTTTTTTCCAGTAGTTGCTGACAGAAGTGAATCTTTAATTAGATGATGATAGCACTGCATTGTTGCGGCAGACAAGTTGACAAAGCACTTCAGGGTCTTTTGAATGAATGAGTCATTCTTCACCTGTGAAGGAAGAAGAATGCAGCACGTGATTCCTTCTGTATAAGCTGCGCTGTAGTAATATTTAAATTTAACATGCTGTGTAAGCAGGAGTCTTGCAAACAAAGTAAACTGTTTCAATGGTTGGTGACTGATTTTTGCTGTTGCAAATTTGAAGATGTATTAAATACTTTTCCCAGCAGAGTAGGTAGCCAGAATGTTTAAATAAAACTTATTTTAGTTCAGTTCGTTCCAGTTTGTGCCAGGCCTTAGGTCTGCAAGTTTTTACCTTTCTCTCCCATTCCACATGCCTGGACTAGAACAATGGGTTGTGTGTTTAAAATACGTTCACTGCAGCAACTTTAAATGCAAGTGTAGATGCATTTTTTAAAAACTTGTTAACTAATCAGGGCCTGTTCCTATTCCAGGGTACCCCTTGCATTCATGAGCAGCCAGCTTTTTTTATTTGGAAATAGCAAATTCTGTCAAAGAGAGTGTTCTAAAAGGAGCTTTATATTTCTTAGTAGAGACAGGACTTTTGCAAAAAGAAAGCTATCTTTCAGCATTGCTGGAGATGCAGAAGCACAATTTTTCTATTACTATTTTGCACAGAAGGAACACCTACATTTTGTGATTGCAGTATTGATAAAAATGGCTTAGTCTTCCACCAGACGTGGGGGAAGCAGGTAAGTATCTTTATAGCAGGGAAACCTGGGTGTAGAGATGGACAGGATTCTGCCCTGAGGGGTGCTTCCAAGGTGAGCATAGTTGCAAAGTGGCAGCCCTAGTTGCGAGGGACGGCGTTGATGTTCTGTGTAGCACTTATGCTGGATCCAATCAAAGGCCATTGCACTCCACCCTTCAGTATGTTCAGTGTACTGGGGTCACCATGGTTACAGCCAGGGCTGTTCGCACACTAGGAAGTAGCAATGCATCAGCTGCTTCCCTATGTTGATTTGATTTAGTTGACTATGGAAACTGGTGCGAACCTCCAGCAGTGAAGTGTGACATTTTCCCTTGCTGCAAGTGCCGTGCATTAACTGGAGCTGATCTCGGTCCAGTTAGACAGGTAGCGTATAGCTCAGAAACTCTTTGTGGGGGCTTTGGTGATGTTCTGTTTACAGGCTGTAAGGAGGGGGACAGCATTTCTGTAGGCAGAGCTGGAGCGAGCTGTGTCAAATATTCACATGCATTTCCAAACTGGTGCTCAGGCCAACAGTCAGTTGAAATGAAGCTGGCCTCAGCTTGCCTATCTGCATAGGGCGGGGAGAGAAAAAGAAAGAAACTAGATATAAATAGTTTGTCAACCTTGCTTTCAACTCTTTCTTTCCCCCCCAAATCTCATGTAAAAAGCATTCCTAGATGAGGGGGCCTGATAAGATAAGGAAAAAGTATGAGTTGATCACGTAGCAGTTTTTAAGTCATTATAGACTAGGACTCCATCTTTTAACAAGTTAACGTAATTTTTAATCCTAAAATTTTACTCCTGCTTGTTTTCTGGAACTGTTTGAATCATTTCAATGTGTGTGTTGTTTGTCATTAGAGAAACAGAATGTACATATACTGTACCACATGTTAAAAGAAAAAAACAATTAAATCTGAGATTGCCTTTGACTTCCACAGATAATTAAGTATAGGTCTTACAGCTTCTGCTAGGAAAAAAATAGAAATCAAGAATGCTTTTTGAAGTAGCATAAATGCATATATATATATATATATATATATATATATAAAAATTTGTTTTTCGAATTGTATCTCCACTTTACCTTAGACCTGGTCATTTATTAGCAGATTTACAGTTTGAGGCCATTCACTTAATATGGCATCTTCAAAGGAAACCAGGGTCTTGAATGGGACATTTATAGATGTGCTCTGGGAGTGGGGAGGGGCACCTAAACACCTAATGGACCTCTACTCCAACATGTGCTAATTAGCAATTAATTTAATCCCCTGGAGCGTGCTAATTAGCATGCTCCAGCAGCTTCTGTGTCATGTATTCAGCGTCCACACATTTCAAAATAGGAGTAGGGGCCCTTTAACTAAAGCTCGTCCTGTGGCATTTTGAAGTGTGGGACGCTGAATACAGGTGATGCTGCAGGCACTTTACTTAAAGTGCCCTGCCGCCATTTTTCAGTGCAGGGACACTGATGCATGTGACTGGAGCTGATATATGTGACTGGTAATTACCATGCTCCAGTGGACTCAATTAATCGAGTCTGCTGTAATTACTGCATGTCGGAGCAGCCTCATTGTACATGTATATATGCCTATTGGAACAAATAGTTCTTCTGAAATCTGCAGCAGTCTAGGTAACTTTGGATTAGTTTTTAAGACCCAGGGTCTGTGAGATTTGGGCATTCAGTTTGCACTGAAATTTCAGCAGCAGTTGAGAACCCATCTCCCTAGGTGTTTTGAGAATCCCAACCTTGAATTTTCTGAGTGGGTAGAGGAGTTGTCAAGCAGTTTGGGGTTTTTTTTTTAACTAAAGCAATTAAGTTAGGCTTAATGAGTCCTTAGTTTGGAATCTTACAGTTTCTTATTTTTGTGTGTGATAGTTTTGGTTCTTCTACTTCTGTCAGAGTTGACCTCTCTCTTGACTTTTTATTTGTGTTTGCATTTTGAATGTCATTGGAATAGGCAGCCAACAAGACACATGCACAAAAATAATGAAACCCATTTGCCTTACACAGGCTAACCACTGACAACAGGACTGATTACTGCTCTAATCTGGGATTCCATTTTGTGGTTAGACATAAGGGAAATAGGACAAAGGCTACAAGCCAAAAAATATAATTAGAAACATAAAAGAGCAAATTTTATCCAATAACTGTTCACATTCCTGCTGTTACCAAAACATGCTAGTGCAAATTAAACATTAATGATCTGTTACTTAAGTCTGTTGGAAACACTTTGCCCCAGTACAAAAGGAGCTGAGTTTGAAAACATATACATTACAGTTTTTCTACCAAGCAAAGCTAGGGTTTAGACATATTCATAAATCCTGTGTGTTCTGGGAGTAGGAATTGGCAAAAACATGCTTAGAAAAATATTAGGGCAGGATCTCATTGGGACTTGGATCCTGACTAATATAACTAGTTACAGATGTTTGTGTGCACTGAAAGATTTATTGAAAGACTTTAGCTTCCCAGAATAAGAGTGCCACACAGGCCTGTGATAATTTTACAGCAGAAAAACAAGAAACTAAGGATAAGGGAGCATATGTTCTTATTTCTAAAGAAAAGTTTTGTTTTTCTCTGTTTGCCTGTTTCTTTGGAATCTGCAAGCCTGCAAAACTATGTTGTACTCTGGTAGGGCCTGATCCAGAGGCCACTAAGTCAGCTGGTATCTTTCCACTGGCTTTAATGGGCTTTGGACCAGTCCCCTTAAAACTAACCTAAGCCATGATACAAATTATGTGTCCAGTAGAGTTTTAGCAACTGATGGGCTGTGACCCCCACTTAATCCACTACAAGCAACAAACTATCTCTTTCATTCCTGTATGCTTCCCCTGTGTTTGTCACATCATGGTGTTTTTTGTTGCCTTAAACTTGGGCCTCATTCTTGAAAACACTTAAGTATAGGCTTAATGTTTCTCAGATGAATAGTTTCATTTCAGATGATTAAAAGTTTATAGGAGCACAGCCTTAGATTAAGCTCTTTTTTGAGCTGGGACTATAGGTTTAGAAGAAACCTCTGTGATCATAAACTCCAATATCCTGTTATCCCAGGCAACCATGTCATATAATCCCTCTCAAAAATGTATTGAGTTCTGTTTTAACCCTAGTTAGGATCTTCCCCCCAGTTTCCTGTTAGAAGGTTGTACCAGATTCTTACTCTTCTGATGTTTTGAAACCTTGTAATTTGTAGTGTAAATTACATTCATGGGCTGTTTTGGGGTTTTTTGGTCCTTATGCCAACATTTTCCTTTAGCTTAAATATAACCAGACCCAAATAACATCACTGCAGTTTATGGCATAGTGCACCTATTATCACAACTTTCATCATTAATGACTGATTTCCATACATAATCATGCAAAACAACTCAGTTCATTATCACTCTGAGCATTGAAACAAACGGCTTAATGTTGATAATTCATTTCCACCGGGCTCCTCTACTTGAGATGCTACATCACCAGAGCAGCAAGCTACAGTGACTTAGCTTATCGCTATGGTGACGTAACGTCAGCTGGCACTAACCCTGACACTGCTGGTATGCCGTGCAGTAGCTCCTTGCTACTGTGCGGTAGGGTTGAAAACGACTTGTGCCGGGACTGCACAGTCCTGGCAGGTACTGCACAGTCATTAAGTACATTCTTTAGCTAAAGCGCTTTAGTTAAAGCAAGTACTAAATGACTGCGCAGTACCAACTGTGCAGGCAGGAGCATATGTAGACATGCCTACTGGGTAAATTTATCTCTTAATGTCACAGCTATTGAGTGACATTCTAAGATCAAATCAATCTAGAAAATCTTTGGTAAGGCTTGTCTTATTGAAGAAATGTATGTATGTAAAAATAATACAACAGCAAAAAACTGCAGGTTTTATAATTCTAACAGGCCGAGGTAGCTATGTTAGCCTGAAGTCAGGCAGAAGGCAGGGCAGGGTGGCACCTTAGAGACTAACTCATTCAGAAAGGCATAAACTTCCATAGATAACAGTCTATGTTGGCAGCAGTGACAATCCTTCGATTTGAGGATTGCCTTTACTATGGCTCATTGACAGGTCTTGAGTCCAATCCTTGAGCCACAGATCGGTCTCCAGAAGTTGCAGGTCTCTGCAGGGGAGAGTAGGCTGTGGGCTGGGATTCCTCTCCTTTTTGTTCCTCCACACTTAGTTCTCCACTTCAAGGGCAAGATGCTTTACCTTGAAACAGGCTGTTGCTTGCTTGAGGTTTTGGCATTACTGGAGTTGGTTAGCAGCCAGCTCCTCCCAGCTTTTGATATTGGCATCCATTTGCTTGAGACATACCTTCAGTGTATCCTTGTTGTGCTTCCATTGGTTGCTACAAGATCTCAGGCCTTAACTGAGATGGGAGTAGAGTACTTGTTTTGGGAGCTAAGAGTTGGGCATCTGCACATAATGTCTGGTCCAGCAAAGTTGGTGCCTAAGGATCACCAGCTCAATGCTGGTAACGTTTGCTTCAGCAATGGCATTGTGCTGGTATTGGTGCAGCGATCTTCCCATTTGATGGCGTGACAAAGTAGGCTTTAGCATACAAAAGTTTATGACTTTCTGAACAAGTTTGTTTTTAAGCTCATCATACAAGCTTTAATTAAAGCTCCCTGCCACCATTTTTCATCAGGGGTATGCTGATACACAAGATGTTGGAGTTTGCTGGAACACAGCAATTACAGCACATCAGAGTGGCCTTGCTGCTCATGTATAGGTGCCCTATGAGCCACTGGTATTATCGCTCAATGTGTGGATTCCATCTGCCCCACCTGGCCGTTTATAAAGATTGTAGCCTTCGATTAAGTACTGTGCTGTTTGCTGGACACTGCTTTCGTACAGGGGGCTGTCCAAGATATTCATCTTGCCAAGTGTTGTTTTGAAGCATCTGTATTGAGATCTTAGTCTGTTCAGTTTGACCCATACTTCGTCAAGGTTGTGCCCAACAAGAGACTTGTTTGGTGTGGGTATAAAAATCTGTAGGAATACATCTGACCTTTCCCAGTGGTTGGCCCACCCTGCTGCTGCCCGTAGGTTTGGTTTGGTATCCCCAATCTCTTCCAGGAGCTTGTAGGCATCATGTATATTAAATGGTTTATGACTTTTAAGCCTCTTAAGCTTCCATTTCATTGGGTCTTCAGCTAACAGTTAATGGAGCCAGCGATTTTTCATCATCTCTTGCCTCTATTGTCAGTAATGATGTTAGGGTCTGTCTTCTTATATCACTTGGTCCAATGCCTGAGAGTACAAGGAGTACATCTGTGTGTGGGTGTCAGTTGTGCAGCCTGTTATGAGTCTCAGTGCACTAAGTACATTGTCAAGCTTTTTACTGAGACAGCTTAGGGGGCTGGACTCGATGATCTTCCGAGGTCCCTTCGAGCCCTAATATCTATGAAATCTATGAACTTCTAGACTATGCATGAGTACAGGAAACCCTCACTATTTGCAGGCTCGGGATTCGTGGTTTCAAATATTCACAAATGCTGAACCCGCTTCTTAAATACACTTAAATACGATCCCGCCGTTGCCAGAGCAGTTGTGCCCTGCAGCCGCCAGTGTGCATGAATGCAGTGCCTTATTTGTGGATTTTGCCATTTGTGGGGGATACGAGGATGTATCCCCTATGAATGGCAAGGATCGCCTGTACAATATTCTGCTAGAGCATATACCATTGTGAGTGCAGTGGTTCTGAGCACTTTGAAGTTGGCATCCCATGTCATGCTGGTTAAAAATCTTAAGGCAGCTACCCATGCAGAGACCTTACTGCTGGCCTTTTGAACGTGGTATTTATAGGTGAGGGAATGGTCTAATGCAGAGATGGGGCAATTATTTCAGCTGGAGGGATGCTTAATGAGTTTTGGTGAGCTGTTGATGGCTGCAAGGATAGCCCTGCCACTTGACAGGTGCCCCGCCCCCTGGTTGCCATCTTGGGCCTGGAAGTCCTGCCCCCTAACCTCTGACTTTTGCCTCCTTTTGGGATGGGGGTTTGCCATCTTGGAACTAGAAAAAAAACTCAACAAATTTATATACTAAAAATCAAACATCCACAATAACATTTTAATTTTATTTTTAAAAGATATTTTTGCCCTGATTTGTGTGTGTTTGCGTCGTGTATATAGAGGTGATTGCATAATAGCTCAAAATGAAGTTTTACTTTGTATATTGCAGAGGTGTGGGGTAGTATGGGGGGCATGGGGTTTGTGGCAGGGGGTGTATGTGGGGTGTGGGTGTATGTGGGGTGCAGAGGAGAATGTGGGGGTATGTGTGGATGTGGGTGGGTGGGCATAGGGTATGGGGTGCCCAGTGGGGCAGTGGAGGCAGCACAGACGAGCTATAGGGCAGCCCAGCATGGACTCTGTGGCTGCTGCAGGGAGCGCTGGGCAGCAATGGGGGGAGAAGCTGCTTTTCCCCTGCACCAAGCACACTTCTTCCCTGCCAGTGCTGCTTTTGCTGCAGCTGTTCAGTGTGAGCAGGCAAGTCTGTAGCAGGTGCGGGGTGGGTCAGGGCTGCGCATAGATCCCTGCCAGTACCAGAGGGCTGGGACCGGAGTGGCTGCAGCCAGAAGGAGATGCTGCTGCCTGGGCTGTGGAGCTGCCCAGGGGGCAGCAGGACATATGGCGGGATGGTGCCTGAGCCAGGTGGAACCAAGAGACCCGCCACAGGCCAGACAAAGTCCCTGTGTGGGACGGATCCAGCCCATAGGCCATATTTTGCCAACCCCTGGTCTTATGTTACTCTTAGGTGGGTTGGGGTATGCTCTTGGAGAAGAATGTAGTTGCCTACTCTGATATTCAGCATGATCTTGGCTCAACAATTGTCCTGGTAGAGGGGTGATGATACTGATTTATTGATGATCAACTTTAAGTGCCACTTGTGGAGCTAGTCAGTGATGAGTTCCATATCACGACTCAGCATTTTTTCCAGTTCTGTCATATCAGTTCTTTGGGCTGCCATGGCAACGTTAGCAGCATAAATGTATCGCTTAGATGTTTTATGTGGGAAGTCTGAGGTATACACAGAAAAATACTGGTGCAAGCACTGACCCTTGGGGACACCTATACATGAGCATGGAGGCTGATCCAGTGTGCTGGAATTCCAGTGTCTCAGAGCAGACTCAATTAATTGCAGCAATAACTGCGTTCTAGCAGCCTCCTGTGTCTCATGTATCAGTGTCCCCACACTTAAAATTGGCAGCAGAGATACCAATACATGAAATGCAGCAGGTCTTTAGAGTGGCTTTTGGAGCCACTCTAATTAAAGTACTGCCCCCCAGCCACCCAGAGCACATATAAAAGTGCCCTGGGAGATTCAGTTCTTCAGAGTTTATACTCTGTTTTTTTCTCCTTGGCTAGTAGTGTGGAATGATCTGTTGGAGATTATGTTCATGATGAAAACGCATAGTTTGCAGTCAGGTATCACAGAGTGCAGTTTATATTTGAGGCTTTGGTGCCATAGGGCTCCTATAGACATGTGCAGAGCCTGCTTCAACATGCTAGAAATCCTTCATGTCAGAGCAGACTCAATCAAGTCTGCTGGAGCACAGAAATTGATGTGCTCTGGTAGCCTTCTGCATCATGTTTATCAGTGTCCCTGTGCATTTCCACACTGAAAAAATGGCAGTGGGATGTTTTGAAATAAAATATGTTTTATGAGCTTTTGTTCAAAGTGCCCCACCACCATTTTTTCAGTGCGGGGATGCTGATATGTGACGCATGGGTGCTTTTAATTAGCACGGCTCGCTAATTAAAGTGCCCAGAGCCTCATCCTGGAGCACATGTAAAAATGCCATATACAGTATCAATAGGTGGCTGTAAGGCCACACCGTTTTCTGCCTCATTTCAAATCCATATTCTATGTCAGATGTAAGTAATCTAACTTGGTCAGTAGTACACTGCTCTTTTCCAAAAGCCAGCTTGTTCTTTTGGGAGCTGGAAATCAATGATGCTCTCTATTCTATTCAGGATTATGTGCTCCATGAGTTTGTATGTAATGCATAGTGGTGAAATCAGTCAATAGCTCTTTGGATCCTCTGGTGTTTTAATGGGTTTCAGGATAACAATGGTGTTACCTTTTCTTCAGGTTTTGGGAAGTCTGTGACTTTCTTTTACACATGAATTTCCAAAGCCATCTTTTCATTGTGGTTCTGAACTTGGTAACAGATTCTTGGAATATTTTATCTGGGCCAGCAGCCTTGCAAGTTTTTTGGACCCACACCTACAAACTGTAAAAAAACCACCGAGCAGCAAACACACATATCATTCTTTCCAATGACTCGTTCCTCCGTCACCAAGGACGAGTCTCACACAGACTTCCCTGTTTTTAGCTCTGTTTGCTTTATATTTGTAGGGAGTCTAGCATAATGGGGGGTTGAGGTACAATCACAATAGGTAGAATTACTAATTATTATTTATTGTAGTTACGCTATACTCGTGTTAAGCTAGGGAATTTTTTTTAATACTCAATTCTCTGTAAAAAAACAGTTTGTATAACTGAATTTTTTCCAAATAGTTTTGGTTGAAAAAGTGGAGAGAAAAAGTTTTTTAATAGTCAAAACAATTTGTTTTGGCATTTTTAAAAATAAAATATTTGCATTTTTCATTTTGGAATGAAGTTTTGAGACCAAAAATTGCTAAATTGAGTTTAAAAAAATAAAAGAAAAGGAGATTTAATTTCATGTCCAACCAAAATATTCTTGTTCAATCCAAATATTTTTTTGCTACAGGCAGTAAGACAAAAAACAAAATAAATTATTGGCATAGCTGTACTCCATAACAACCTTGTCTACTGAGGATAAAATACCAACATTGTTGCTGATAACAATTATACACAAAGTGGTAATTTTCACTTAAAGACTTACAAAACTGCTAGAGGGCTGAGTGAATCTTGAAGGGAAAGGAAGGGAAATCCCAGCATGTACCTTTATTAGACAGTTACTTGGTAATTCACAAAAAAACAAACCTCCCATCAACCTGTGAAGATGACAATAATGTTTGTATATGCCAAATTGAATAAGGATCCAAATGTAAGGATACAACAGAGCATGGTTCCAGATTTTAGAACTGGAAATTAGGATCTAGAACTACTTTACCAAATCTAGTGGACCTAGTTTCCCCCTAAAACTTAGTAAAAGGTTTTGGAGACTAGTAAATTTGTCCAAAAATACAGTTTCCAGGGGACGTATACTATTTGCAAATCCCTATTTGTTTCTGGACTAGTTTCTTCTGGGGAAAAAGGGGGGAAAACTTTTTGGACATGCCAAATATTTTGTTCTGGAAATGCTGAACCAAAACACGTTTTCCATTTCAATATGGTGGGGCTTTATGTTTTTGTTTTTGAAATGTAGCTAAATTAAAAAGAGTGGGGGTCAAAACATCCTGGGTTGACAGCAAAGGATATTTTTGGTGCATGTTGTTTTGCTGAGGGGGGAATGGAAGCTTCAATTTGGTTTGACCTGAAGAAGTTCTATATTTTTCCTTTTCAGTTCCTCAATTTGGTAATTGAAACAAAATGATCCATTATTTAGCCAGCTCTGCTTTCCCTACCCAACAGAAAATTCCCAGTGTTGATGATTCACTATTACTTATAATTATCTCATTTATACAACACATATCACACCATATCTTTGTGTGCATATGTATTGGCAGGTGAGGCCAGAGGCATAGAGAGCTCCTTCAATGCCTGGGGCTGGGGGAAGAAGGGATTATGTGCACCAGGGTGGGGACAGAGTTTTACCTGCCCTGGCTCTCTGCACTCATGCAGCAGCTGCTACGGCTATGGCTGCTGCTGTAGCAGCATGGCCTTTTGCTGCTGCCTCTGGGGAACAGACTTGCTACACACCAGCTGCAGCAGCTTGGTGGTGCAGCCTTCCTGGGGGTTGCCCCTTGTGCCCTATTCACTCCCTCTCCCTGCCCAGACAAGCTGCTGGGCACAAGGACTCTCTGAATGGAATGGGGGACACTATTCTGTTCTCCCCTGTGCCCCACAAATACAATGTTGGTGAGGGCTGCTTCTGCCTGGCTCCTGCAACTGGTCAGTGTGGAGCTATTCCTGCTGCGCTGAAGATTCAGGGTGGAATGGTGCCCCCTCTGTGTACTTGAGAGAGGAAATCTGTCTCAAGGCTTCTATTTCACTTTATTTTGCTTACAGACTTGGTGTCAAAATGTACAACAGTGATGATATTTACAAGAGCTCTTCCACTGAGAGAGTCCAGCAACTGGAAAAAGAATTGGCAGTCCAGTTGGCAGAGTTGAAGAGAGAAATAAAAGATAATGGAGTTCTGCAAGGGACACCAAATAGGGCATACAGGTAAAGAGAACCTCTTGGTGAATGGGGAAGAGAGGGGGAATTATAGCTACAAGGTATTTAATAAATGTAGATCAGTAATTCTCAACCGGGGTACAGCAGCAACCTGCAGTGCCTTGAGCTCCTTTCAAGGGTGCAACACAATGTTAGCACTGTTAGGTGTGCAGGCATGATTCACAAGATAAACCCAGAGATTTCAAATAGGAATCCATAGCATCAAAAACATTCTGACCTGCCATGGGCTTTCTGAATTTTTTTTGCCACAGAAGAATTATTTTTCTGTAGCCAAAACATGGGTGAAATCTGAGGGGTGCCTTGAGTCTAAAAAGGATGAGAATTGCTGATAGAGATAAATGTCTGCTCCCTGCACTCTCTTTTCCCCACCTTGGTACAAATCATATGTACCTAGAGAGGTGCTTGACATAGAGTAGGGGCAGAAAATTATTTTGTTTGGAAGGCCCTGTCCTGGTTGCCATCTTGGCACCAGAAGTCCTGACCCCTAACCCCTGACCTTTGCCACCAGGTGTCCCTCCCCTTTCCCTGGAAGTACTCCTTTTGGGAAGGGGGTTTGCTGTCTTGGAACCAAAAAACCCCCCAAATTATATACTAAAAATCAAACATCCATAATAATGTTTTAATTTTATTTTTTAAAAATATTTTTCTCCTGTGTTTGTGCTGTGTATATAAAGGTGATTCCTTATTAGCTCAAAATAAAGTCTTACTCTTGTGTATTGCAGGGGTGTGGAGGGGTGGGGGTAAGGGGTTTGTGGGGTTCTGTGTGTGTGTCTGCAT